ATATATATATATATATATATATATATATATATATCATATCATATCATATCATTTTAGAAATGCTTCAAATGGTCCATATAATTTTCGCTCGATCATATCGACAAAATTTGGCCATCGAACCATTTATGAAGATGTTTTAGAAAATTTTTCTATTAAAAAATACAACTTAACAAGATTGATCGATCAAAATATACGAATCGATTGAAATTGAAAAGAGGGATCGGAAGGAGAGCTTGAAATTCAAAAAAATTATCGTGAGCCGGGTTTGGAAATTGCGAGAAGAACAACGGGAAAATGCGATAAGATCGACATTGGACACGAAAGACACTTGGTTACGTTTCAGGTGGCGTTTATGGGGATGTTATATCTGGTCTATTTGGTGGAGTGTTATCACTCGCCAATCAGGATCGATCTGTTACACGCGGAGAGTCAGGACAGCGTGTTGTCGAAGATCTCGCAGTTGAAGTCGGCACAACCGACCATCTGGTGGAAAGCTGTCTCCTACCATTACGTGCGGCGTAAACGTCAAATTACCCGGTACAGAAACGGAGACAATTACACGACGACGCAGGTAACGCATAGCGCGCAACGTGCAACGCATATCTCGTAATCCAGATGAAAGGAAGTCGCGGGATGGTAAATCGTTGATACGCTTCGCGCGAGCCTCACGAAACCTTGTTGCGAGGACAGATGGACCATTTCATCCTCTCTTTCATCCTCTTTCTCTTCGAAGAAGTATTGTCTACCGATAATTTTACACCGGTCGCGAATTAATAATTCAAAGTTACATATACATAAAAGACATTAAAATATTCTTATAGATAAGAGATGAATAGAAATATTAATATCCAGGCGAAATAAAATAAAATCACTGCCATTTTTATGCGATATTAAAACTATAATCGTCGGGAGTGGCTCTTTTTTTTTAACAACGAGTGCTAAGAATTTACAAAATGCAACTTTGGATAAATGATAAACGAATATTAAACGAGTACGATACAAATTGAAATTAGTTATCAGTTAACTTCTTAATGGTAGGTTAAATTCATATTTGTTGCAAATTGGTAATTTGAGGTCCAAAGAATTTTTTTATTCGCGTCGTGACATTTCAGACTGATTCCGATACTTTAACAAAATATGCATGTCTTTATGTGTATATGTAGTATATTTTATGTAGCGTGTATTGTGCTACATTTGGCGTACATTTCATTTATACATTCCACTGTGTATTTGTTCTGAATAGCATGCAAACTAGTTGTAATAATATCTTTTTACGAAACGTTTAAAGCAACGAATCGGAAGCTGTATTTTTACGTGAATTCATCGAGAGGAATTGCAATTCAATTTTAACGATTTAAACGAATTTAAATGATTGAGTTTTTTACTCCAATTACTTTAGAATGGGTCAGAACGTATTTCAATAGCTTTCAAAAACTGTAGTACTTTTCTTTAAAAAACAGCAGAACATACGTGAATTTCTGAATACCGATTGAAGAAAAATTAATGATCATCCTGACTGAAACAGTTCGTTATCCTCGACTTGTTTGATGATCGAGCTATAGATGAGATAAAAACTCGCAGAAAAACTATTGCTATTAATTTTAGTTTTATTTATATTTAAAATGATGCACTTCGATGAATCGCGTATTTTGATTTCATTTAATTTGAATATATATGTATACTCAATAACTCAAAAGATTTTAAATGTACGTCTTTCGACTCCGCAAAATATTAAATATTGCTTTTTTGCATTAGCTGAGAATTAATTTATTTTAATAACATTCTAATATTGTTACAATCTTTAATTTTGTTTATGCTGACCATTAATTTATTTTTATAACATTCTAATATTGTTAATACGAATCAGCGATGTTCTGGCTCTATTTCACTTAAAATATTGATAATTTCACTTCTTAATCGTTTGCAGCGAAGAAGAAAATGATTTGGCGATCTGTCTTTATTCAATGGCCCATCTATCCTCGATTTATCCCTCTTTCTAACATTTCTCGTCTTCCAGGTTTACTACGAAAGGATAAACACACACGCCGCCACATCTTTCTACTACTACGACTACTGTGGCGTGAAAGATATTAGCAAGGAATTGATCTTGGATCCAAAGGTGCCAATCACGAAGATCAATCTCAGCAAAGGATTCGCCTTTTCAAACATGAGATCGGCAACAGAGTTCGAGGAGGCCAGGTCGAGATTCTTCGCGGAACAAGTACGACAAATTACAAGTGAACGATTAGACTGCGAATTTTTATGCATTCACAGCAAAAGAAAGAAAGAAAAAAAAGAAGATACAAAAATGCACAGAACGTATGTATAATATCGTGTACTTGCGATACAATTGATAAGTAACACAACTCGAGAAAATATCTGCCAAGGCAAGCAATAAATTAAATATTATTTTGGACATTTTAAACGTTAGACATTTCGAATTTTTAGAAATCTCAAGGATTCGCTAGATTCTCAAATTTTTATGAAAAATCTAGATTCTTAAATTTTACGAAATTTGAAGAAATTACTTTGTTAATTCATCAAGGATCAACGTTGCAGTTAATTTATCCTTATACAAGGAAATTTCAGTGGTTCTTTTAATATTTTTTCACCATGATTCTTTTAACTCGATTCTATCCAACCCCATTAAAAAAGCTGGAGAATTTATAATTTACGATAAATTATTGCCCTTATCAGTTCTTCACTTTATCAGTAAGCATTTGCTTACAATGACGATAATTGATGATAAAGTTCGTGATCTTGCAAGAGCGACATCAATTGCTCTCTATCAATTACGAAGATACAAAATGGTATCTGAAATATTCAAACTAGAATAAAATGTTTGCGTTTCATAGTTTCTTCGTTACGGTTCTGTTTCTCGATTTGCATAAAAATCCGCAATACACGAATAATTCTATCGAGATCGAGAGTTACTCAGAGAACGAATGAAATTCAACGAGTTAAAATTTCGTTGTTTGAAGGAGTTGAGAGACGATTACATGGAGATGAGAGAAGGTCTAGATCTTGGATACAATCCGAATCCTACGACATTGGTGGCTGTTCCTGGCAATCCCTGGTTCACTAATCGTTACGTCTACTGGTGTTTAAGTGCTCTGTTACTCAATTGGCCTTTGAGAGTGATTATAGAGTACAAAACGCAATATGCTGATTACCAAGTGAGAATCTACTCTATTAATTAATCTATAATGTGCAAGCATTAATCTATTATTTTATTTTCACTCGTTGT